AAGACTCTTGATGCTGCTGATAGTTTCTGCTGGAAATGTTGGAGACAGACTCAGTCACTGCTAGTGCGTTCCTTTCATCTTTCTGCTTTCTCTGTAGTTTACCACTTTTCTTCTGAATTGTCTTCTGACCTGAATCCAGGTCACTGGGGGAAGGCTAGGCTGTGTAAGGCGGGGGACACTCCTCTTTATGGGTGCCATTTCCCAGAGCCGCTGGAAAGGTTTCTTCAGTTGTGGCAGCTTTGTAGATCATTTTTGTTTTATCTGTCAAGTTGAAAAGAGTTATGGGTGGGGTAGGAGAATGAGAGAATAGTAAATATAAAGCTTGTTCAATCTGGAAGACAAAACCATTTTACCCCTAGGGTAGGCTCTGTTTTTTTCATCTCTTGACCATCTCTCCTCCCATGTTTTAATTCTGAGAAAGGATTTGCTTTTCCTCAACATACCTAACGGTAATACTAGTCACAAAAGGTCTAATTAGCAGAATACTGACTCTCTGGGACTCCATGTCCAACTTCGTTGTACATGCAATTCAATAGGGGAGTTGAATTTAAGCAAAGTTGTTGACTGCATTTGGGGAGCAAGCAGCGGTCAGGGAGAAAAGAACTTTAGGGAAGTCTTCTAAGGTGGGTTCCCATGCCTCTCCCTTCCCCCATTTGGTTTAGTCTACATTTCCAGGCTGCATGGCTGTCGTGAGGAGCTGTGAAGATAGGGTCTACCTTTCTGGTTCTCCCATCTCTGTAGAAGGGTACAGATATCAAAACCATTAAAACTTGGCAGATTCTTCATCCTGAGTACTGCTGCTTGGGTCCTTATGGTCCATTAGGTCCAAAAGTAAGGTGCTTTCACATAGTTTTGTCCTAGGGGTCTTCTGAAGTGCATTGTGAGTGAAGTTCATTTTAGGTCTTGAGAGCCAAATACCCATACTTAGAGCATGGCCCCATGAGGGCACTCCGGACCTTTCTGGAACTAAGACTGGGAACCTGATGGGTTGTTGTAGAAACTCTTCTTCCCTCTTGCATTTTTTTGGTAAGAGGGTGGAGACTTCAGGGGCAACAGATTTCTGAGTTGCTCTTGGATAAGCATCAAACTAGATTTTCTACAGCTCTACTATAGTTCGAACCAAAACTTATAAAATGGTTCTGAAGTATAATCCTCTATTTCTTTTTGACTGCTTGATACCAAGATTGCATCTTAGTTCATTGTAAATCTGCATTTGCCTACTATAAGATAATTTCACCAGGGAAGCTGCATCTTTCTTTTAGGGTGTAAACCAGTCCCCTGGGCCTAGAAAAGGTTTTGAAGGGGCCCTCAATTAAATTCGTGGGAATAAGAGAGTTGAGGGTTTGAGTGATTATGAATATACTGATGTTTAGAATATAAAATACTGAAATGTTATCAAGTAAGGTTGTTTCCTGGTTTGGAAAAAAAGATGTAGGGTTAAAGTCTACTTTGAGGAAGGGACTCTGAGCTTTCTTGAGTTTTGATTATGTTTGGAAGAGAATGAAATGATCTGAGCCTCTTAGAAAATAGGTGCTAATTGGCTAGGAAGTTATTAATCCAGTAGTAATCAGATTAAGGTATAAAGCAAATCAGACCAGATTGTGAAAGCGATTGTTCAGTAAGCTTACTTAAGTTTTCTTTACTGTGTAACCAGAATTGGGATCCTCTGTTTTGGATTCAGGGTTATGAGGCTGCATTACTTGAATGCTTTCCCTCCTGTAGGGGTGCCAGTGGTGCTGGGACTCTGACCTGGTTCTAAGACATGAGAACCTACAGTCCAAATTTCCTGAACTCTTGTGAATAGGGCCTTTCACAGAACTGACGTCTCACAACTATCTGTTGGCCAAAATGGTTCTGTCCTGTGTTCTCATCCTGAGCCCTATACATGATTTCCTCAGTGAAAGCAGCCCAAATTACCCATGAGGCAAACTCCACCCAAAACTGCAGTGAGTGAAGTAGCCTTGGCTCTTTGAGGCCCTTCGTACTTTTTTTTATATATACATTTTTATTGATTTCATTGATTTCAGAGAGGAAGGAAGAGGGAGAGAGAGAAACATCAGTGATGAGAGAGAATCATTGATTGGCTGCCTCCTGCATGCCCCCCACTGGGGATCGAGCTTGCAACCCAGGCATGTGCCCTTGACCGAAATCGAACCCAGGACCCTTCAGTCCGCAGGCCGACGCTCTATCCACCAAGCCAAACAGGCTAAGGCCCCTTCGTACTTCTTGTTGCTACCTGGTTTCTAGTGACTTGATAGTTACAGCCCCATCTAACAGGTCCTTGCCGGAAGCTTGTTTTTCTCCAATATGTGAGATCTCCAAGGGGAATAATTCAGTACTCACCGTTGGAAGGCTTGATTTTCTCATAGCACCGAAAGATGACAATGAGGAGAAGCCCCTCTCCAAGCTGGCAAATCATGTAGAGGAGAGGAAAGAAGAAAAGTGGTCCGATGACTTCAGGGGGGAAGGTCACATTGAGGATGGTGGAGCAGAGTTGAATATTTTGGCATCCAGTCTCCATGCTGACAGTGCGCCTGCATCTGTGTAGGTTACAAAACAACCACCCCGTATGCCCTCACGGAAGAGGCATGAGTGTACAGCCTCACTTCCCTATCTTCTCCCCCCAGATACTCTAACAGTCTGAGACAGGAAGTGTGCCAGGGAGTGGAGTGCACATGGTTTCAGGAAAAGGGGAGTCGACACATGTTAAAATCACCAATCCAGCCTTGTGGAAGTGGGTTCATGAAGGGAGTGTTTATGAGATCACTTTTTATTGTCTTGGAAATGGATGATTTGTCCACTTTTGTAGGGTTACTAAATTAAAATTTGGAGAAATGTCCAGTTGGTGAGGGAGGAAAGGAAGGTGTGAGCCAGTATCAATCATTGGCTTGTTATATTGGACTTACAGGACAATTGAAATTTTTAACATATAGTAGAGGATTGAAATACCTGAAGATCTTGTCCTGTTCCCAAGTTTCTGGCTTTGCTACCTTTAACTCTAAAACGTGATGATTAAAAAAATATACTTGATTCAGCCACATTTATCTATCATTGGAATACAATCTCAGCTTTGCTTCCCATTTTATGAATTAAAGAATGGGATGTTTACATTTAATAAATGTACATTTAATTCATTGAATTGTAATTAATGTATTAAAATAATTGTTATTCACTAAAACCCCTGAGAGCTGTCTCAGCATATGAGGAAGACTGCTCTGGCGGTACTTGATGCTGTGATGTTGGGGCCGTATATGATCCATACCACTCTGTCGTGAAAGTTGACGTCAAGTAGTCATTGGCAGTCTTTTGACTCTACTGTATCACCATGTGTTATATCCTGTACTAATTTGGTCTTTATTAGCATGTTTTTTTAAAATGGATGATTATTTTTAAAAATTATGTAAAATTTTTTATTTTTAATTACAATTGATATTCATTATTTTATTCTAGAGGCCTGGTGCACGAAAATTTGTGCACTCAGGGGGTCCCTCAGCCCGGACTGTGCCCTCATGCAGTCCAGGACCCCTTGGGGGATGTCCAATTGACGGCTTAGGCCTGCTCCCCTAAGCACTGCCGGAAAGGCTCCCTCCACTGCTGCTGCGCTGGCCAGCCATGAGCTGGCTTCTGGCTGAGCAGCGCTCCCCCTGTGGCAGCGCACTGACCACCAGGGGGCAGCTCCTGCATTTAACGTGTGCCCCCTGGTGGTCAGTGCACATCATAGCGACTGGTTGTTCTCAGCTGTTAGGGTCAATTTGCAGCATATTACCTTATTATATAGGAGGATTAGTTTCAGGTGTACAGCATAGTGGTTAGAGAATTATATAATTTACAAAGTGATCCCCTGATAATTTTAGTACTCACCTGGCCCCATATATAGTTACTGCAATATTATTGACTATATTCGTTATGCTATACTTTACATCCCTGTGACTATTTTGTAACTACCAATTTGTACTTCTTAATCCTTTTACCCTTTTTACCCAGCTCCCCAACCCCACCTCCTACTGGGAACTCCCAACTTGTTTTTTGTATGAATAATTATTTTAAAATTATATTTTTAAAACACAAGTTTTTTGAGGTGGGGGCGGGAGTGCTAGGGTGCTACTAATGTAAATTCCTGCATAAACATTTGTCTACTATGCTTGAAAAGAGCAAAAGTTCTGGACATGCACTGCTTTGTATAGACAGGGTGCCTGATGTTCCCATTCCAGGCTTTCAAAGTTATCTATTCCCTTAAAGTAGCAGCTGTTTGTGAATTGGATTAGACTCTAGCCGAGGTCCCAGCTACGTCAGCAGAGCTGTCACTTGATGGTGTTCTTGTCAAAGGAAAAAAGGAGGAAATGTGGAAGAGGAAGAATATGATCAACATTTGTCATAATGGCACAGAGATACCCCAGTGTCATTAGCTACCAGGGAGTTGGGCAGGAGATGGAATCTAGCCTCTGGAGGGAGCCATGAGTTGCTGCTCTTGGATGATTAGAGAGATGCCGTTGGTCTTTGGATTAATGTTTCTAACCCATTCAATACCTTCCCAATATTTCAGTCTAAAGTCCCTTGTTCAGTTGATGCATTTGAACATATTGCTGGCGAAATGCCTTCCGCAGGCCTCAGATCTCCTCATCCTTTTCCTGAGAGACCAGGACAAGAATGAGGCCCACAGAACAGTGAGACTAAAGTAATACCTACTGTTCATTGAGGCGGAAGACAGCAGAGAGAACGTAGCCTAGCAGGAAGCCGATGAAGGGCATCAAGGAGGAGGTGGCCCACAGGTGGGGTGTCATGACAAACATGATGCTCTTGCCCACGTTGATGACAGAGAGCACTGTGATGGCCACACTGAGCAAAAGCATGATGACCATTCCTCCCTGTGAATGAGGACGAGAAAAGGCCATTAGAGGGGGGGTGGGGATAGGGAGAAGCAGAGAGTAATGGTGAAGCCCAAGTGGGCACTGGAGGTGAAAGACATTTTAATTTTTAAAAATTGGTATTCGAAGTGGGAGGGAATACAAAGACCTTTATTTTCCATGTTTTTGGGATTCTTTTCAGTAGCTAGGAAGCTTCTTGGAGGACAGAGACCCAATTAACACTTGTTACTAAAGACTAAGCCAAGTGCAGCATCTGTTGACATCTCTGGATAGCAGATTTTCAGTAAGTGGCTCTGAAGGAATGAGACTGTTCAGTCCTCCTGCAAAGTGGTTCTTGTAAATTAAAAATTCTTTTGCAAAGTCATTAACTGCTTGTGTACACAATCCAACAATACTGCCATTGCTCCAAATAGTTTGGAACTTAATCGATGTTATTCTTAGAACCTGTCCTACTTGTCTCAAATACCTCCTTTATGGGTAAGGACCTCATACATTCTAGGATGAATTTGACTCTTGGAAGTTGCCAAGAATCATTTGAAGTGAACCTGGTAAGCAAATTGGGTGATCAAGCCAGGTAATGTGGGTTTAGATCCCAAATGTAAAGAGACGTGCCTTTCTTGAGTGACCTGCAAATTGGTTACAAAAGGAAGTTTCAGAAATATCTTGGGTAATAATGGCATCATAGAAACAATGCAGGTGTCCACCTTATCCCAGGCAAGTGCTGTGAAAGCAACATTTATTGCCCTTAATAATTACTATTAAATACGTTAATATTCAATATGAAAGCAATGTTGAGTTTTATTACAAATTTTTTATAGTTGCATCTTAATACAATTTTCAATTTTCAATAGATTTATAATGAATTTACAATGTTAAGATTTTTCAGCAGGTGACATAGGATGCAAACTTTCAAAGTGCATTTTCTTGTTTGCATTATGGAGAAAGACACACTCCAAATGATAAAATATATGCACAGATTTAACGCTCTTGGTCTTGCTCATTGTTTAGTAAAGATATATAAGTATATACACATAGCAAATGTAATGATTATATGTGTTGGTTCAGTTTTCAGTTCATTCACATGTGTAATATTTGATATCCCTAGTACCATTTTAAAAAATAGTCGTAAATTATAACACAGAAGTTGCCATTTTAACTATTTTTTTAGTGTACAATTCAGTGGCACTACTTAGATCCACAAGGTTGTCTTGGTAGCATTTTAAAATTTATTTTCCTCAAATTTCAGCTGCAGTTTTGCATTTCTATGTTTTTTAAATCCATATTCCAACTGATGTGGTCATATAAAATATCACCTGTACTAACCAGTTCCTATCCCAGGATAGGAAGGAATTTCACAGATTTCATCAATAACCACATGCTTCAGATTTTATTACATGACTTCACTGATGAGCTGTTCATTTGCTCTTGCAGTTTGAATTTTTTCTCTTTTTGGATTCCTGTCCTTTGTTGCTTTCTACCGAATGACCAAATAGTTTTTGACCCCATCAAAAGAGTGCAGTGGATAATGGGAGGGGCAGGGCATCGGGCTATAGGAATTGCCCCATGAATCCGGCAGACCTTTTTCTCTGTGGGCATTTACTCTCGTGCTCTCACTCGCTCGGTCTCCCACTCTTGGAGGCTGCAGAGTGGTTACGAGTATAGACGTTGCTGTGATCCTGGTGTGGAAACTGCTTCAGCTGGTTTCACGATGTGTAAACTTCAATGAGTCACTCAACCTCTCTGACCTGCCATATCAAAACCATTCACTAAACTGTAGCTCCTACTATTACTCACTAGAGGCCCAGTGCATGAAATTCATGCACGGGTAGAGTTCCTAGGCCTGGCCGGTGGGTGATCCAGCTGCTGGCTGCCGGCCGGGGCCTTCCTTCGTTCCGTGCCGCCCCCTGGTCAGTGCACGTCATAGTGAGTGATTGAACTCCCGGTCTCCCAGTCTCCCAGTCGAACTCCTGAGGGGACACTTTGCATATTAGCCTTTTATATATAGAGATAGGTAAAGGAGAAGAGATTCACATCCCAAAGTTTCCTGTCACAGTCCTGCCATCTGTGGAAATCTCATGGCCACAACTACCTGCTTCACCTGGTTTTTGTACCACCTGTCTGCACTGCCCTCTCATGAGTGATTGAGACTGTGATGAGTGTCCATTCATGGGCAGCCAATGTCATCAGCTTGACCCAGGAGATGACCTGGCCCAACCTATTCCCACAGAGGTGGCCTACACATGCTGGTGAATGACCCAACTAGTCGCATCCTCTCCTTTTGGGAGATTTCAGAATTACAGAGAAGCAGGAGCAGATGCAAGTATTAAAGACACAGGCCTGGGGGCAGCAGAAGCCACAAGTTGGCAGAAGCTATGTGACCAAAGGGGTCAGGTTAGTTCATCAGTAGCAGCAGGTATGGCAAAAGCAGAGGTAGAGTGGCTGAGTCAATGTAATGGCTGGACCCTTTTTAAAAGAGTGGTGGAAGGCTTATGGTAAAACTGGCTCCTGGTCATGTTGTGCAACCTTCTAACCACGCAGCCTTGAATAAACCCTTGCATGGATAAGGCAAAGTGCTACTTGAATTGCCTTTCTAAACAGGGCGTCCCTGAACTTGTATATTGGCATATCAATGACCTCCCACTAGGAAATGCAACTGGTTGAACAGAGTTTGAGCAATACCTTCTGCCAGAGCCAGTTTTTAGGAGTTAACTTTCGTTTGGAAATCTCTCGGACAGTGGTTCTCAACCTTCCTAATGCCGTGACCCTTTAATACAGTTCCTCATGTTGTGGTGACCCCCAACCATAAAATTATTTTTGTTGCTACTTCATAACTGTAATTTTGCTACTGTTAGGAATCGTAATGTAAATATCTGATATGCAGGATGTATTTTCATTGTTACAAATTGAACATAATTAAAGCATAGTGATTAATCACAAAAACAATATGTAATTATGTATGTGTTTTCCGATGGTCTTAGGCGACCCCTGTGAAAGGGTCGTTCGACCCCCAAAGGGGTCTCGACCCACAGGTTGAGAACAGCTGCTCTAGGAGGATTAAGTGTGCAAAGCCACTGGGATGATTGTTGGCTCATTTTTCAGTGCATAACTCATTATAGTTTATGGAACAGGGAGATGAAGGAGCCATAAAAGCAAGCCTTTGCCTTGTGACCACACATTTGTCTGCATCTTCACAGGCGTGAGTGCTGTTTGGGAGTATTTGATAAATGGAGCCACTGACCTCTGGTGGTTAAACCCTGGGGTTCAGCTGCGGTAAATTGGGTCTAATGTACACCTGTGCTTTATAGATCACCTTTTATGCCAGTGGTTCTCAACCTTGGCTGCACATTAGAATCACCTGGGAATCTTTTTAAAATCCTGATTTCTGGGCCTCATCCTCCAGAAATTCTGTTTCTTTGTTATGGGGTGGGGCCACAACATTAGTAACAAAGAAACAGAATTTCCGGAGGATGAGGCCCAGAAATCAGGATTTTAAAAAGATTCCCAGGTGATTCTAATGTGCAGCCAAGGTTGAGAACCCTAGCTAGCCGCTAGGGTCTTTCTCCTTGAGGAGCTCAAGGTGAGGGTAATAAACACACAGGTGCTTATAGCACAGTATGATAAATGCTGCAAGGACCCAGTGTTGGGTGCTATGGAAGTAAATAGGACCAGAATTCTACTCAGGCTTGTGAGCTAAGGAAGACTTCCTGGGGAGATGCCATTTGTGTTGAGACATGAAGGGTGAGTGGGTGTGAGCCCAGTGAAAGGTGATGTGTGAGGGGGACTTGGAGAGGAGAGGAGTGTCCAGGTGGAGGGAAGGACATGTGCAAAGAAAAAAGCTGAGACTGGGGAGGTCAGTTGAGACCAAATCAAGAAAGGCCTGAGGAGCCACAGTAAGGAGTTTAAACTTCATTCTGGGGGAGAGTAAGGAACCAATGAGGGCCTTTAAGCAGTGGTGACATGATGACGTTTGAACTTTCCACCCTCAGTGTAAGAATGGGTCAGAGAGCCAGGTTAAAGGTTATTTCAGTTGTCTAGTGAGAGAGGATAGAGGCCAGAATGAAGACAGTGGATTAGGATGGGAGGAATGAATGGATTAGAAAAGCAGGTGGAATCACTGATTAGCCTGAGTGAGGGGGAGGGGGGAGGGGACGCTGAGAACTTTCCAGTTTCTGGCTCAGGCAGTTGGGCATGTTGAATGGAATGCTGTTCATTGGGGTAATCACAGGGGGTGGAGGGGAGGAGCCGGCTTGGGGTGGAGATGCTTTTAATTGAAGACATACTGAGTTTTAAAAGCATATTAATGTAGAAAGGTTTGGCAGTTCATTGTATCAATGCTGATTGTGAAGAACTAACTCAGAGATGTTCTGGAAATGAGAGCCTGATGGGGGAGCGGTGGAGGTGGGGGACATGATCAATAAAAGGAGGTCTCTCAGAAGCAAGGGTGGAGAGAATGGAAGATGTCAAGAGTGAAGTAGGGTGTCTTTCAACAGGCAGGAAGGGAGCTGTAGCACAGTAACAGGACTGGGTCAGGACAAGGGCAAAAACTACTCTTGACAATGATAGTGTGAGAATCAAATAACCCTGAAAACCTGAATTGCAGCCTTTAAAATATATATATATATATATATATATATATATGCACATACATATACATATATATTCCAGAAAGGAAGGGAGAGAGAGAGAGAGATAGAAACATCAATGATGAGAGAGAATCATTGATCAGCTGCCTCCTGCACACCCCTTACTGGGGATTGAACCCACAACCCGGGCATGTGTCCTTGGCTGGGATCAAACCTGGGACCTTTCAGTCCACAGGCCGATGCTCTATCCACTGAACCCAACCGGCTAGGGCTGAATTACAGATCTTTTATCTCAGGGCTCAAGCAGCTGCTAAGCCTTGGCTTCCAGGTACCATGCTGTGTAGACTGGCCCGAGGGCAAAGAAACAGGGCAGGACAAACAGGCCCTCAGAATGTTGGAGGCAGAGCCCTTCCCAAGGACAAGTGATGAGCAGTGAGCCTGAGGGGAGACTGACAGAGACTGAGCTCTGAGGTCATGAAAGTTGGCAGAGGGACCCTGGTAGCCCTCCAAGAGTCTGATTCTTCCAAGGACAGGGCAGTGGCATGATGCCCTGTCTGTGACCACAGTGCGACCCCAAACCCTCTCCTCCCATCCTGCTCCTGAAATGGCTGGGAGTGTGAACACACCTCTTCCCCTGGGTTTTACCCCTCTGGCTTCTTGACCAGTCAGCCAAGTTTGCCCTCAGTCCCCTCTGAACTCAGGCTTGTGTTCAGGCTTGTCCCAGGCTTACCCAAGTCTCATCCTTTCTTCATGGTCTGGCTCAAGACTGTCCCCTCCAGGAGGCCTTCTGTGACTACCCAGCCCTCACTAACCTCACCTTGCACTCTGCCAATGCTTGATTGTGCACTGTGTTGGGTCTTGTTTCTCATGTGCTATTTTACTTTCTGCAATAAACTCTTTGAGAACAGTGAATCCTCAGACAGTGTAGGAGAAAAATTAGAATTAGTAGGTGCATAATAAAAATTTAATTTTATTATTAAAATTCTATACAATAAAAGGCCAGCGACCATAACGGTGTAATGACTAGAACGACTGATCGACCAGTCACTATGAGGTGCATTGACCACCTCTCGGTCCCTCCCCAAAACCCGCAGGCTCCGATTGCTGGATGGCCAATGGGGAACCACGGGGAACTTGGGTGGGTGGCAGCGGGGCGGGACTGGGGACTGGCGAGCAGGCGGAAGATGGCCCTGATCGCAGGCTAGGCCTAGGGACCCTACCCACACACGATTTCATGTGCTGGGCTTCTAGTAATGAGTATAAAATACCTTATAGTGTGTGTGGTGTTTTTCTTTTTCCTCCTGACTTTTTGAAAGTATTCTCAGGGGACATGGCAATCCCATGATGTAGGTGTCCTAATAGTAGGTCTTTAAAAAAACACCCCAAACCCACAAAAAAAACAAGGAACAAAACCAACACAGAAAAAACCCAAATGACTTGCCTCAAGCCATCCCCTGAGAGGATAGCAGCATTCTTGCTCCCTGCCCTGCCCCCACGCTCTTACCTTGGTGACATAGCGTACGTATTGTGGCCTTTTGGCGTTGAGGAAGATGCCTATGGTGCAAGGAATGAGAATCATGATCAGTGACAGCACAATGCCTCCATAGGGCACCTTGTCCTTCAGGTCCCCATCATAGATCCCCCTGGAGTAAACATACAGGAGGAGGGGCATCATGCCCAGGGCAATGAAGGTGGAACAGGTGGTCATCACGATGCTGGATGGGAGACAAGAAGAGTGCAGAGAGAAAGCCCATTAATATAGGCTCTTTTGGTGAGTGCTGGCGACGTACCAGACACTGCTAAGCACTTCACACACACTGCTTCCTTTCCTGTTCCCGGTAGCCTGAGGAGTAAGCCTGCCAGCTCCCTTTCGCTGATGAGGAAGCTGGGGACCAGAGGAGTGGTAACTTGTCCAGGATTGTGCAGGTAGTAAAGGCTGAGACAGGATTTGTACCCAGGTCTGTCCAGCTGCTTCACTCCTGTGCTTCCTTATGGAAGGAGCGTTCTGAGCTCCTTTGTAACAGAACTCTTTTTGCTCTGAGCACTTGCCCTAGGCACAGCCCATTCAGAAGAAAGTTAACCGTGTGACTTTATCACTCTGACTTTATCCCATTGGATCACAGAATAGTACCCGACCCACAGTCGTGTCTGTCTCAGAGCCTAGGGATGCCTGGACACAATGGCTGTGTCCAACTGGGATAACAAGGATTAACTACATCAAGAACATTTTCTCTCTTGGAGATTCTGAATATGAGACACAG